CTCCGGTGGAGCTCCTCTTTCTCTCCATCTCTCTCTCTCTCTCTCTCTCTCAAGATTATTAGGGAAGGAGCGATGGACTGGGGTGGGTAGTGCTCTAGATTATTCAGTGGCCCTCAGCGGCAGATCCTTGAAAGAAAGTTAAAAGAAGTCTTTTTTTTTGCATACAACGTGTCAGCCTAGGAGTGAGCACCCACCAGCGCCTCAAATGCATGGCATGGGCTATAGCTTACCACTTTAATTCTTTCAAAAATTAGAAGTAGACAAATGCAAATGTCCATAGTAATAAACTTGTGGTCACAAGATTGCTAGCTTAAAGTTTGCTAGATTATGTAAATGGGTAATTTTGTTGCCTGCTTTTTAGGTTTCCATAGTATGACTCATTCTACATAATGGCAGGCAAGAAAAAAAAATAGCTTGACTATTCCATGCACAACTATTCTTTCATCGAATGAGACCGCGGATCTGAATTAGGTGCTGACAAATGCCATTAGGATATAAGAAGTGTTGTGTAATGCCACACAGAGCATGTTCAAAAAATATCGTCCGTTGCAACGCACAGACATTTGTACTAGTCACAATCATTCATCGATTAGTACATAGGAGGTGGAAAATTTTGCTTGATCGTGAGCTAGCTAGCTTATCCATGCAGGCATGCACACACCTCAGTAACATGGTTGTTTGTGTATGCACACACGGAGATAGGCCGACTCACGGCTGAACGAGGATTGCTCCTCTGATCAACGCGCAACCCGCAGAGTGCAAACAACACACACACACACACACACACACACACACACACACACACACACACACACACACACATATATATAACAATATAAAAGGACCCAAATGGGTAAATTCAAACCATCCCGACCGTCAAATCATGTTATTTAGCGGTTCAAATCACTTCAATGTTGAGCACCAAACACGAATATATCTTACCTAATATAACATGCAACTAATATCCTATCTAATATAAACGTGCATTGCACATACATTATTACTAGTCAACACAAGTGACAAACGGCAAAAGAAAAGGCTTGCAGGGTAAAAAAACAAAGTCAAAACAACCACAGCAACAACACACAAGTGAAAAGCAGAATTGAGGAAGCACCAGACTACAATCTAATAATGATGTCACTCAGATGTGGCATAACAATGTCTCATCTAGATGAGACTTACACGAACCCATTTTACTTCCTCAAGTATCGTGTAATGAAGCTAAAGACATCCTTCCTCAAATTAGTTGGACTTCAATCATTACCCAATTGTGCCCGTGCTGACTTTCTATACATGTGAAATTTAACATGCATTGTTTATATACAACTCCAGCAAAATATTTCAAAAGCCCGTGCATGGCATTCTACTAGTAGCATGTAGGACTACAGTTCGACGATGGCCAATCGGGTGCACAACGTCGACTGCATAGCAGGCTTATCAAGATGCATAGCATCATCATCAGCCTCAGAATTAGACTCCTTTTTCCCACCGTTCTCCTTCTCCTTATCTGCGAAAGAATTGTTCAGGGCAACGTGTAAATTTACACATGTACAGAAAGACTTGAAGTTAAGTGATTCAGAGACCGATGTATAAAGAGAAATGCCCTTACCCTCCTCTGAGACTGTGTTGGTCATACCCTCAATCGCAGCGTTCATTACATCAAGGTTCTTGCATGATGCAACATCCTTTTCACAAAAGTCTAATCTCTCCTCGACTTGTTCCCGCATCTTCTCACCGAAAATGGAGCTACTCATATCTGGAATTCATAACCCAGTGAGGAAAACAAACAGAAAGGGCAGTCAGGATGTTTAACCTTTGCAAACAAAGTCCTTCAACTAACCTGAATAACAGTCAATGCGTGAAGCCATTGAGCATTTGCTTGCCAGGTATCTTGCCATTCTTCCCTTGTTCTTCGTCGATGCACGGCCAATGAAAGATGAGTGGAATATGTGGCCATACTTCGGTGTGTTTCCACCTGTTCTAAGAGCTCTGCAGTAAAATTAGGAAATCAATCACAACATATCAGAAACATAGAGGACAAAGTCTGAATACTTGACAAAACAGTTAGTGAGTATAAGGACAATCACAAATAAGAGAGCACAGCTTGAGAAAATAAGACGTGGGAATACATAAGGAGACCATTCGGTCACAGTTACCTTCTCAGCGCCTTCTCAGCACCTAGTATCTGGAGAGTGGAGGAAGGTAATTTTGCAAGATTCGAAAGACTGCCAGCATGAGAAATTAACTGGGCTCCAACCATTTCGCCAATCAATGACGTCAGATTTGGTGCAATATCATTCATCTTTGTCACCAGATACTCATAGATATTTTTACGGTACTCAGATAGATTCATGACCCTTTGAGCAAACTGTTGGACAGTGATCAAATCAACTGGTGAAAGGTCCTGGCCTGGAAATAAAAAGAAGATTATGTAAACTAAGCAACCATGGCAACTACTGTGAAGCATACCAATTGTGAACATTGTTGTTACCCATAGATTCCTTTGCTGCTTCAACAATTTCTTTTGCCTTGTCCTCATCTCCAATCAGATCTGCTAAAGCTGGAATGTCTTTCTCTGACAAATCAGATTTGTTTACTACAAAGTTGGCAAGCTTAGCATAAAGGTAGTTGTCATTCACGATTTTGACCAGCTCAGGAAAATGCCATCCATACCACTCCCTGCATCATGGTTAAGCAACAATTTAATACAACCATGCAACTAACACAACTACAGTGACAAATGTTCAAAACTAGTTACAGCGTCAACAAGTGTAAAAAGAAAAGGAAATGTCACTATACCCATCTAAAGCGTTTAGTGTTCCCCGCAAAGAAAAGAAAGCATACATGGTGTAGGATAACTGCACAGTCGATTAGTTAAAATTGATCTTTCATTACCATAGGATATATATTGTAAGATAGTACAGGGTACACGACGCTTGTGTCACAGTAAGCTGGGCAGTGACCTGACTGGACATGCAACTAACATAAAGTATTTGATCACGTGAATTGAGCCAATTTATCAAGACTTCGACACAATATGCAACTGAATCCACATAGTATAACTAGAGACTTGGGCTTAGGGTTTGTAATTATACTACCTCTTTTCCGGTTTATTAAGCCCATGCGTACCCCTAGATCAACAATTGACCAACACAATACAAGTTATATATTATAAAATTATGCCATTAGAAACTTCAAGTGTTGTATTTCCAATGGTATAACTTTTGTGATATATAATTCATATTGCATTGGTAAAATTGACAACCTAGAGATATACACAGGACCTATAAACGGAAAAGGAGTAGTAGCATATAGACCATATGATTGATGTCACTGATGTATAAAAAATCTGGTTACGAAAGAAGAGGTCATGCAAATGAAATTAATCAAATTTCAGCTTTCTTTTTAAACTCATGTAATCAGAAAAGGGTGGCACAACCAATATACCGACAGCTAAACTGGAATTTTCTCACAAATGTCAACTCTAGTACCTATATCTAGAATTTTCTCAGGACTTCTATGTCGCCATCAACTTATCTATTTTGAGATAATCCAAGTCTCATCTCAACAGACAAAACAAAGAACCAGATAGTTAAATTAAGCAAATTAAGAATAAGATGAGGGACTAACCTCACTCTCATGGTGAAGAAATTGATACCCTTATCAAGTGTATCCAACAGAATGAGAGTTTGAGTCACCATGTTATCCGCACTTGCCCTGCTATAGTTCTCCACGTCATATGGCTGCAATCAAAAACCAACGGAACAGAGTTTACAAACAAGAACCAGAAAACACTATAAATAGCCTACAGATGGAATAGAACCCTTGAAGAACGATTAACATGTCAGCAATCAATTTGTGAGCTTCCAGGCAATTCACTGTATGATCTAGGTAAACTTAACTAGTGAAAGTGATGTGTCAACCATAATAAGGTAGTAATTGTCCAACTCTCTGCACCCACTTCATGCAAAATCATAGTTCATACCACCAGAACATTAAACTTTTTCATAGTTCATACCACCAGAACATTAAAAAAATTCCACTGCTGTAGAATCCTCTAAAATCAAATACACCAGCCACAACCCCACAACTCAGACCACACAGTGTTCTGTCCTACTGCACCTTACAGCTTCACAAGGCATGTTCCACGGTTCAATCTTGTATGGAACAATGTAAAACATCGAAACTAGACGCAAATGCAAATGCAAAATCCATCACCTTGAGTTGGTCAAACAACGGACCGAAGTGCAGCCGCACCGCGCCAAGCAGTTCCTGGATATAGTCATCGGACTGGCAAGGGATTCCGGTGGCCTCGGTGATGCGGGACCCGACCTTGGGCTGGGCAACGCCGACGGTGAACTTGCCCTTCTTCCACTCCTTGACCTTGGGCAGGTTGAGAACCAGGAAGTTTACCAACTCGTCGGTCGTGATCCCTGAGCCACCAAAAGAGCACCCATCACACGCAATTCGCTCGTCAAGGGAGACATAAAGCAGGGAGGCTCGACACGAGGATTCCACCGGGGGAGGAGGGGGAGGATACGATACCTTCAGCGATGGCGTTGCACTGGTTGGTGGCGTCGGCGGCGGACAGGAAGGGGGTGAACCTGGCGAGCTTGACGGCCTTGCTGAACCGCTTGAGGTCCAGCAGGGTGGGGCGGACGGCGTCCACGGTTTGCCCGATCTTGCGGATGCCGGAGGCGTGGAAGAGCGCGTACCCCGACGCGGACTCGAAGAGCAGGTAGAGCGCCATCTCGCCCGCGCGCTTCGCCGGCGACGACGGCCGAGGGGTTTGGGAGGCGGGGGCGGGGAAGAGGCTAGGGTTTAGGCGGAGGGATGTGGGCTTAAGCTTCGCCGGGGCCTTACTTTTTTTTTTTCTCGAGTTGGACACCGGGGCCTTACTTATTATGGTGGGGTTTGCGTTGGCGCTACGCTGGCGAGTCTCGGCCGTCCGATTGGATTTATGCACGAATCCGATTCTCTGAGCGCTCGTGCGCTATCCTGATTGACATCTCTTGGAGGCCACGTTGGGATCGGCACCATCGCTCTATTCGGAAGAGACATCTTGGCTTTGATTTAATCAAACGAAATTTTTTTTTGAGCATCAGTACAGACACAAGCGCTCATATACACGCGTATACACTCATCCCTATGAACGCACGCACGCACACCCTACCCCTATGAGCACCTCCGAGAGACTGAGCCGACATATCATCTTGAGATTTACGAAGTCACCGTAGGCGCCTCGTCATCGACGGGAACGTCTCCTCCCACTGAAAGCGCATCGCCGGAAATTCTGAAATAAATCCAGAAATAATGCGAGCACCAGGATTTGAACCCTGGTGGGTTGGGGATACCACTGTCCACCTAACCAACTCAACCACGGGTTGATTCGCAGGTTTAATCAAACGAATTGGATGGTGAAAGAACCGTCTAAAGTATGAGTTTTTGTATGGCAACTCGCACATACCTCTCTTCCTACAGGTTCAGTTTGCCATGAGAAACGATGCCGGCGACGTCCCCTGAGCCAGAGCTGGAGGCACACAAGAGGGTAAGAATGAACCAAGCTGAAAGCGGCACTGAGAAAGAACCTTAGAGGTGTGTTGATGTTGGAGAAGAACAAAGTCGACCCTAGACCTAGAAGGACGCGCGAGGAGAAAGTGGACTACCAATTGC